AGGGCAGTGCCCCCCCCCCCACTGGTTATGTCTGCACTAGTGTTAGTTAGTGACAATCCCTGTTCAAACAACCTACCTGTAACTGTGCACGTTGCTCCACTCTGCCGCCTCCTCTATGCTGCACAGCGCTCAGATTCTCGACGAGGAAACATGTTGTCAGCATCGCACGGCATAAACGCTCATCTCGGACACACACACACACACAGCGCTACGGCTGACCATCTGAGGTAGATGTTTCTAAGGGGAAAACTGTGCTCGGGTGCGACATCGCTGAGGCAGTGTGGGAGTCATCCCGGAGAGCCGCGGCTGTCTGACTGACTGCTCAGGGATCTGCACTCGCCACCGGGAGCGCGCACTCCTGATGTCGTGCCCGCGCCTGGGATATTTTTTAGCCCCAGGGGTTCCAAGACCCTTTTTTTTTTCAATGTCAAGGACCCGATTATGAGGTAGGCGTGTGAGTATGCATGGAGCCCCCCCCCGTTTGATAATATTCACCAGCCCGAGGAGCCCCCCCATCTGGCAAGTTGTGCGGTGTTAGGTAATGCTTGAATTACATAACCATTCTAGTGTAGGTGGGGTGGTAACAGTGAGAGGAGTGAAACCTGGTGTGCAAATCAATTCATCCTCATATATCATCTTATTGTTCTTGTCCACTGAGGGAGATAATGAGAAATTCTGCCATTTTTTCTTTTTCTTGGGGGGCAACTGGGGCCGTTGTATGATCCCCTTTGGTCCCTGCAAGAGCCTGTAGGCCCGGCTGATTATCTTTGGGGAGGGGGAGGATTTTTAAACAAAAGATGAAGCAGTTAGTCAATTGGTAAAAATTATTCTCATTTATCAAGTGATACCATCATTGGTTTTCACATTTCCAGGAACAGGCAGGAAGCAGCAACAGAGGGAAAGACTCTCAAAGTTCAAAGTTCAAGAATATGCTAACCCACACCTCCAAAGCTCACCAATTCATACCTTGTTTGTTTAACCCCTTCAGAAACCATAAAAAGGACTCAATAGTAACTTCCAGGTCTCAGATGGTTGCCTAGCAACCTCACAGTGACAACAGGTCTCCAGGAAGTTACTACTCCCCCGGCCAAGAAATAGTGCAGCACGTAACATTCATAAAACCTCAGCTTTATGTTTTTACAGTTTACAGTTATGTGCAGATTAAACAAACTGGATATGGTTTGTTTATTTGGGAGCTTTAGAGGTGCTGTTAGGCATAATTTAGTTTGGACAGAGCCCAGCTGTTCCCCTCTTTTCCAGTCTATGCTAGGCTAAGCTAACTGTAGCTGCTGGTTATAGGTAGCCTTATATTTACCAGAAATGTGTTAAATTGGAATCAGTCTTCTCATCTTGGCAAGAAAGCGGATTAACCTATTTCTCCAAATGCCAAACTTTTATTTTGAAACAGCACAAATACATACATAGTTTTACTTTAAACATGTAATATAATGGTGAAAGCATATTTGTGACTAGGCCCTGTGAATGTTTGCGTGTTTGATCAGTGGATTAACTGCACTTTTCATTTTCCTCAGGTGTATGCAGATAGTTGCTCATTTGTTTGTTTCCCAGCCTGCCAGAGGGAATTTGAACAAAAGCACAAAGGTCATTCTGACAGACCTCATCCTCTTTCAAGTTATTTGTTTTCCTTGCTCGGGCTCAGCCGCCTCACAATTCATTCCTTAACATTTGGGTGGAGATGGTAGAGCTGGGGTCAAAGTATTAATCATTGAACAACATGCATGCACTCAAACAGCCTTTGATCTTACTTTAATCATTTTAGTTAAAAAATATGTTTTTAACAAGAATTCAAGGGATAATTGTGAAAAATAATTTGAAACCTGGCACTTTAACTCCAGGGCTGCTGCCTGTGTGTCCTTGACTTAAAAAACAAAAAAGAAAAACCCTGACCTGATTAAGCTGCTCCTATCCTCACACTATCTTCCCCACTCTCTGCCCAACACTTACACCCTGTGTCCAGCACATGAACTACACCTTCTTCCTCACAGATAGGATCAGAGGAGTTCCAAGTCACAAAACCACAAGAAAAATAAAAACCTCTTTTGATTTTTTTATTATATCAAAATACAAAAATTTGAGAGGAAAATTTCATATGGGACTAAGCATTTGAAATGATATGGTGACATGAATACAACACTGCTTTCATATTCTCACAGACATGCCATAGATAGAGCATAGATCATGTGCTAGGCCCATGTCTACGTCATGATGAGCCACCAGGAGTGAGCCTGTGCATTTTCCCTATAAAGGCTTTTGATGGCGACTGTCACTATATATCCAGGCCATGTTGGTAAGAGGCCAGAGTGTTTTTACATCATAGTTCATTCAGGTTTCTGTTTACTCAATAAAGAAACGAGATCCATGGCAGTTGAACATGAAGAGTGAGTAAGACATGATCTCAGACGTATACAGAATTCACTGGACAGCAGTGGCAAACGAGAGAAAAGTAATACAAATATTATACATAAGGCTTTGGTACAGCACCATACAGTATGAGTTAATTGCTCACAAAAAGTTAAGTGAAGCGTAATACCTGATGTAGTGACAGAACAGAATGACAAGTCTAAAAACTGACCAAAAAAATAAAAAGAGAAACATCAGGTTATCAGTTTAAAACAGAGAAAAGTAAAAAATGTTTTTGCTTTGAAATATTTACATATGAACATTGTTGAATACAACTTAAAGAACAGTATGGAGACAAATTATGTACAAAAAAACAAACAGAATTAACATATAATACACAATGTAAACATGTGATGTACAGCACAGAGTTCAGTGGATGAAAATGAAATGAAATGTAAATTTTCTTCCTTTTTAAGCACTACTTGGTTTGCTTGAGTATGAGCATTAGCTAAAACAGTCAACAATGTAGTGCTTATTGTAGCCTACGATAATAATACATTCTAGTTTCTCAGTGCTGGTACACATGAAAAAACAGAGAATATAGAAAATACTACATATTTCTATTTTCCGTCCAATAACAACCAGCTTGGATGTCCATGAATGATTGCTAAATAGGCGTTTTTTTGTATTGTCTCTACATGCAAGATTAATACAATAAAAAATCAAATCGGGTTTCTACGTATCATCCTATCAGCACCTAGTGATGCACTAAAAGCTGTAAGCAGAAAAACTGGAAAAAACAAAAACAAAACAAAACAAAATGAGCTAACAGTACGTCCAAAGCAGCCCTCTTAAACACTGTACATGTTTCTGTTGAATATGCAAAAAAGAGCCCGGAAGACGACATCCATTCGTAAAACCCATGGAGAGGATGTGTGAGCTTTCCCAAGACCTTTCTACCAGGAGAATCAGCAATAAATACAAATGTGGTGTGATGACTACTCATGGCTATACTGTACAGTACTAGTAGGAATTCTACCGTCAAAACGGCGGTGAGATGACGTGAGACGGTTACGCCCCCCTGCAGTAGTGTGCTTGAAAAACAGTGCTGTTAACCAAAGATGGTAGACCTACAGGAAGTGTGTAGAAAAGATCCCCTCATGACCTGACAATGCTCTCGGATTTCCCTCCCATGTGTCCTGTGGCGTTTACTAATCTAAAATCAGGTTATGTTTCTCCTTTTAGGCTGGGTTAATATTCTCAATATCATCACAAATATACTTTAGAGAGGGTACCTTGGAAGCACAGACAGACATTGCAAACACACTATAGAAAACAGGTCATCTTTGAGTTCATTTGAATGTCACAAGTCTCTATTATTTGAGGTTATACTACTATTTTCCAGTATTGTCTATCACTGTCATCACACCATGATACTGTTATGATAAGGACCTATAGTGTCTACCAGAGCTAGTTTAGTTGCTCAAACACACAGGGTCGAAAGAGTTGCTTGTGGAAACAGAAAACAAACAAACAAAAAAATCTTTAGACCTCTATTCTACAGCACCACAAAGTTAAACATAGCACCAAGTTGTAATGTTCAAAGCAACTATGCCCTAACACACTTTTCTTTATCAAACTAATGTAAACACAATTTCCTCCACAGCACGTATTGTACATGACTATAGCATGTCTGTGACTCTTAGAAAAAAGTTTCCTTCAGTTTATTTGCTTTGGACACCTGAAGGCGAAAGATCTGAAGTGAATCTACATGTGTGCTCATGAACGGGCAAAATACAGTATTACTTTGTTCCAGAAATATTATAGAGGGCAACACACTTCTGCTTCTAAAGCTTTTTCCAATGGGCATTCACATACTATACATCAGAGAAAATACTACTTAACTTGTGCAGCCAGCGGGCTATGGCAATAATACATTGTACGGTACTAACATTAAGGTTTCTTTTCTTCTCAGATAAAATAAGGTCTGCTAAAGTATGACAAATGAGGCACCTTAAAATGTTTTAGAAACATTATCCACTTAAAGCCGTACTGTAAGCAAATACTTTTATATATAATCTAATTTCTTTTTCCTTGGGATCCTTCCCGTCTTTTCATACATCCTCATACAAGAACGTCTTCCTGTAAAACATGGTTTGATTTATCTTTACAAATACAATACATACCATGTACAGTACATAACAAATATAGAGTTTTTTCCTCGTATCTTACATGAAACCAATTTGTTAAAGTAGAATATGCACTTTGACACTCACTTTCAGGCAATCATCACTTTCTCACTTGTCAAAAGAGTTGGAGATTTCAGTAAGCAGACACTGAGTTGATTCATTCATGTGGATATTTGTCGGAAAACCTCTTGATTTGTTGGTAGCAGTTGGAAACATATCTGATTTGTCTTTGACGGATTGGACCAGCGTTGGCAATGAAAGGAAACCGGTTGTGTTTGTAGCCGTTAGAACAAAAGGAGCTTGGCTCAAAACCTGTAAGGGGCCCATTAGTTATACCAAAATACTGGAATAACACAAAGAAGTAAAACAATTTGGACTTAAAGTGGCAACTGCTCATTTTACCAATCGCAGCTGCACTATAAACAACGTAATGGGTCATTCAATGTACTGTGACATCGGGACATTCATTTCCTGTACAGCAAAACATACATTCATTATCGGTTAGTGTCGAAAAATTAGCAAACATACAGAGAAGTAGCTAGCAAGTAATATACAGTTGTTAAAGATAAACAGTCGGGGTGGCCATTGTTGGACTATTTCCCATTGCTTGTTAACAGCTTCATGAAACAATCACATTCTCCTCTAACAGCTGTTGTTAAACATTAACATCCGAACTCTACTGGTTTGTTTTCTCTGTATTAAAACTCATGTACAGTGCTTCTGTACTTTTCCACTAAAGTTATATTTATTGATTATTTGCCTTTTTTTGAATCTAAACTTCTGTTTTTTTAATTATTTGTATGGGTATTCTGGTTCTGTCCCACTACTTGGTTAATACACAGTTGAAGCAGTTACCCATTTAAAATGTACATGTAAAAAAAAACCAAAAAAACAAAAAACAAAGCAAAACAAGAGTTATGCATTTTCTGTAGCATTTTCTCTCATGTGTCCTTGGCAGAGAAAGTAAAAACACAGATAATATTGGAGTCCCTCACTCCCCTAGAAGAGACAAATATGAGAAGGCGAAGGAAAAGGCAGTTTATGTTAGAAAAAACAAGAGAGAAAAAGGCAAAAAAGGCACCTCGAGACGTGCCACATTTCACAAATGATTTCTTAATAATGAAATACATACTACAGTACACTTCACAATTCATCACCCTGTTCTTCTAAACCCTACAAGTCCAACCTCTGTTGAGCGTGTAAGTCCCAAATTATTTAGAGAGTTCTCATGAAGGCTTTATCTTTTTTTTATCTTAATACGGTGCTATAATGATGAGTGTAAACACACTGAGCCATCAAGCACTAAAATTAAGACAGTCTTCTAATGGTTGGCATTAGATCACAAATCAAAATAAACACAATATGCCAGCTACTACTGATAATAAAAAGCTTCTAAATTAGATCAGGTCAGGCCATATTATCCATTTGAATGAGTGTGGTGTGTGATATAAACCTTTTTATCCATACATTTCATATGTAAAAAGGTCACGTACGTACAGTATACCACAAGAATTACAGCAACTCTGCGTTTACTCTGAGGTATATTTTGTGGTAAGAACCCTGTGTTTGAATACTGAAACTATTTGTATTGTAGGAAAGGTAGACTCATGTCCTTGTCCGAGGACGCACCAGGCTTCACAGTACACTGTATCACTGAAAAACCTAAAGATTATGGACCCCTCAATGACCAGTGAGTGAAAAATCTGTAACGTGTTGTGACATACTCAACCAACACATTGTTATTACTGTAGGAGGAAGCTAAATTCCCTTGTTTTACTATGTATATACATTATATATTTTCAGAGCATTTTCAAGTGAAATTCCTCAGAGACAAGTAGTGGTGACAACTCAGAAACGCCATTGTTCTTGACTTGAAATAAGATCTCCAACCCCGGAGTATTCAGCTGGATGTTTTCCCCGCTCCCCAAACACTGATGAACTTTTAGAGATGATAAGAAATGTATTAGCTTGATACAGAGACTGGGGCGGGGCAGGGAGGTCAGGGGAGGTCAGTTTAGTCGAGTCCAATGGCTTGGTGGGCACACAGGTCAGCGTAGAGTCCCATAATTCGGGCCCTCTGAGTCTGCACTAGCCAGAATGCCTGTCTGGTCCTCCTCAGACTGCCTGCGGTGCAGGAAGGAGGTCAAATAGAGATAGGGGTTCTTCTTGTTTTGCCTTTTCCTCTTTCTGTGGAGGCTGAGATCCTCTCCCTCTTGGGGTGTCTGAGATTGCTGCTGGGTCTGAGAGGGACATGCACCTGGAAGGGAGGCAGCAAGAAAGCACAGGAGTAACACACCACCCACATATTTTAAGATTAATCTTTTGTATCCATTCTCTCAACGCCAGACGAACCTGTTCTCCTTCCGGAGGTTGTGTTGTTATTGTTGTTGGCAGCAGCCACTCCCTTGGCTTTAGTAATACAGTGGTGTAGCAGTGCTGGTAAGCTCTCAGACCCGGCAGGATCACTAGACGCACCTAGAGGTTCCCTGAGAAGAAGAGAGACAGCACAGCATACATTGTCCTGCATTAATCCAACAGTCGTGTTCGGTCCCATCTCAGATGTGTAAAGACAGAACTTTGCATTGCTATTTGCAGTAGGCGCTATCATATGATTTGATGAGCTCTTGTACTTCTACTGAGAGCCCTCTCACTAAGATTGATGAATTTCCACTTTCTATCTGCATTGATGGATGATAAAAGTTAGACACAAAGAAAGACAGAAAGAAAGAAAGAGAAAAAGAAAGAAAGAATAGTTGACATAAGGTGGATTTGGTGAATTTATTGGCTATTAAGTTTCTTCTCAAACAATCATTACATTAAAGACCCAGTCCAGGATTTTTAGGAATTATGGTACTACAGACTACATATTTATCCTCAAATGGTAAAGTGTTACAATGTGATCTCATTCTCTCATTTTAGGTCTCACAATCGTAATTTAAAATCAATTGTCAATTAATGTATGGTCTTAGCAACAGTCCCAAAATAAAACAGACCCATTGCAGGGTTAGACAATAATTGTAAATACTGTGCTCTCTCAGGTTTGGGTCTTCAAATAGTGACTGCTTCAGAAATGCGGGCAATATTGGTCTCTGCTGTATAAAACTCATAAAATGAAAATAATTTCTGGAACTGTAAAATGACCGTTCCTGTAACAATAAAGTCGTATTGCAGATTATCTTTTAAATTCTTTCAATACCAGTATTTTTCAGGATACAGTAGAGGTATGAACATGTGTGTGTGCGTGCGCTTACATTAAGTAACAGCTGTTTTTGAACCCTGAAGAACTATTTTCATTTCATGAGTGATACATGCTACGTTCAATGAAAAATAATCAATCAGTGAAAAAAAATAATCACATCAAGTTAAAGTATCTTCACTGTCATAGTATGCAGTCTGTTTTAGAAGTAGTTTTACCTCATACCGAATACTCTGGTTTTGTTGTCCATCTCTCATAGAAAGATGCAATACAATAAAATTTAGTCCAAATAACCTCACAAACTCTGAGGATTTAAGTTTGGGTTCATGAGGTTCATTCTTGGTTCAACGTCTTTGCCTTTCAAGGAACTGAATACAAACAGTTTCAAAACCTGACTTAATGTTTCATTAAGTCAAGTTCTTGTGCCAAACATGTATTGTTTCAAAAGGCATAGGAACACAAAGCTTTAGAGATGCTGTCCATCACTTGCCACTGTGGAGAGAGAGATTGAGAGCCATTAGCAGAGAGGGGGAGACAAATCTGAGAATTGCTACAGTCCTGGACAGATAGAAAACATTTCCATTATCACATAAACTGTGTGCAGAGGCCACAGTGTGTTAAATATAGTACATTTCCATAGACATGAACACTGTACAGCACACTTTCATAAACATGAACACTGCGTACAGAGGCTTCACCATGCTGACGGGAGGAGATGGCAGGAAGAGGAAATGGCCGTTAAAGAACAAGTCACATGACAGGAAGAGGAAATGGCCATTAAAAACAGTCACATGACAGAAAAACGAAAGCACTTAGGACAACAAATGTGACAAAGAATTTAGTTTGAGAATTGTTGTTATTTGTTTGGTCGTAGAGAGAAGTTTAGAGAATGCATGCATGGCATTTTGCACATGGAACAAAACTTTAAAGGGGAATACTCCAGTCTATCATTCATGTGCGTCCTCTATTGATTCAAGGCTTTTTTTGGTGCAGGGAAACATGTCTGTATTCAAACAATCAAAAGACAAAAATGCTTCTCCACCGCTCCTCCTGCTTGCTCACAAGCCTAATTACTGCAGCCTACGCCACAGCAGGCTTACTGTGCCTGGGAAGTGTATTGATAAATGTGTCCTGCAGTCATTATTACCATTAGTTGTACTTCACTTGAATCCAGCACAGAGGCACAACCCAAAGCGATTCCCCTTTAAAGGAGAGAGTGATTAGAGCCCTCCCCCTGCTGACCCCTCCCCTCTCAGACATGGGTCCGACCCTTACCTATTGCGGCGTAGGGGACCGGGTCACAACGCTGCCCAGATAGCTGAGATCAATCAAAAACAAATCACGTAAGACCCTTACCCTCTATAAAGCAGCAGCCCTATAAGCTACCTTCCCTTAAAGGCCAGTGATGGTGCAGGAGCAAGTCTCTGCTTCATGGCTTTAGCTACTGTATGATTGTAGCTTCTAGGGTTGTGAGGTGGGTGTGAGGGGGCGCAGGAATGTGTACAGTGAAGAAATACTATGGGGCATAAACGTATATGAGTCTCAGCTATGCTTTTTATGTAGGTGTAAAAGCGTAAAACTTACTGCGTTATGTCTACAGGGGCACTGATCTAACAGACTGTTGGATGTCATGGGAAAAGAATCCCTTCTAGTGAGATGTGATTGTACTAATTCTTCATAAAAAACTGGCTTAAGCTCTAAAGTTTTTATCTTTATACAGTAGGTACCAGTTTTTAATAAGGCACAGTTTATTAATGGTTAATAAATCATTTACTAATTTTTTATAACACTGATTCTAAGCCATATCTCTGGGTTGCCAGGTTGTGGCTGGCTTTTATCCTCCTACAGCTCTTGAATTCATCAGTCTCTGATCTTCTGGAAACATGTTGCAGAGCAATAAATGTATTTATTAACATCTTATCATTATTTAAAACTTCAGACTCAAATTATTGTAAGAATCCATTAATAATAACTTATCAACGTTTATACACACAGATATACAGATGACTTATAAGCTTTTGCGTAATAAAAAAAACAGTTCTATAAAAAAAATGTGTTAACAATTTATTAACCATTAATATTATTCTAAATGCTTTATAAATGGTGAATTATCAGAAAGTGGTACCCCTTTTTTGCATGTAAATAATGTAATAAAAACTATGTAAAGGGTAATGAAATATACTATGTAATTTATATCCAGCTGTGAAGAATAGTTCATTTCAAAGTTTCAATGTTCAAAATATGGGACAGAAGAAAACAGTTTTATAAACAGTAAAGTTGAAGGTTTCTGTAGCCTTTCACCTAAATGTTCCTGTTTGTTTTTTCAAATTTTCATTATTTTATGAGATTAAATATGTGCTATCAAATGATAAAGACAGTAATACATTATCTTAAAATCAAATTGAGCTTTCACATGCCATCTAGTTAGTCTAGTCATCTTTTAATGAACTGATACAATGTGTGCTAAATGCAATTACATGCCTTCTGCATATTAATGTACAATATGCATCTTAATTATGCCTAAATGGAGACATCAAAGTAAAACTGTGGATAAATACTGAGGAACTTTGGAATAGAGAGCAGACGAGGAGACAAGTCTCCCCTTTAAATAAATATGTGACTATTCTCTACTGGAATGGATCACCTACCCTGAGGCTGATATCTGGAGCTGAGAGGGCTCTGAGGGTAGCATCTCCTCCTCTGTCCTTCTCTGGGATGGCCTCTGCCCGAAAACATCCCTGCCCTCCAGAGGGGGAGAGGGAGACTGGGAGGGGTAACTGGCTGCAGTGGAGGCATAGGACATGTGGGCGTGGTAACTGGGGCTGGGTAGCCTGGCGCCCTGAGTGGGAGAGGCGGTCAGGGAGGACCTCCGAGAGAAACTGACAGTGGCCGAGGGCTGCAGGGTGAGCTCAGGCATCTCCAAAGACCGAGAGGTGCGGAGGATGCTGGGGCGCGGAGGGGGGCGCACTAGAATATCTGGGGAACCTGGCTGGGTGCTAAGAGGGCTTTGGGAGAGCGGAGAGAGGCGGGAGGGCTGGAGTACTAGCGGGGGTAGGCTGGGGTCTGCCCGGCGCCCCGCCCTCGGGCTGAGCCAGGACTGAGGGCTACTACTGGGGGCTGTGCTTGGGCTCCCTGCACGGGCTGCCGGGTCAGGGTAAGGCAACACTGGTACACCCACACCGTGGGCCGTGTGTCTGAGCTGGCCGAGACTCTGGGCCTGTTGCATAGCTAAACGCCTAACCGGAGGCCCCAGGGGCCTGTCCCTGCCTGGGGGAGCCACAGGGACCTCCAGCTGCAGGAGTCCAGGGCTTGTTGGATCCTTTAGGGAAGAGAGGTGCAGGCGACTGGGGGGGAGAGAGTGAGGAGGGTATGGGGGTGGGTCAGGGAGGTCCTGGGGATGATGTAAGGGATGGTGAGGTGGGTATATGAACCGTGGACCCTCTAGACCCAGGAAGGGTAACTCATGAGGCTGCCAGCTTTCAGGTGAACGAGGAGGAGGGCTGTGTGTGTGAGACAGAGAATGACCAGAGGCAGTGTACTGATGGTGCTCCATCTCTCCACTCTCCTCGGGGATGGAGGGGTAACCAAAGGGCCCCTCAGCAGTGCCTGGGGGGGAGGACAGAGCGGAGCTACGCGGGCTGATGTCAGGCATGTAGAATGGTGGTGGAATCCCTGATTCACCGCGGCTGCCTAGATACCCATAGAATGGGCCCTGGGGAAAGCCCCTGTAGCGGGAGGCTGGGGCCTGCCCTGAGGCGTGAAGTGCACTGCCCTCTGCAAAGCTCATACCTTCCATGGGCCTGTGTAGGCGGGGGCTGTAGGTGGGGGGTTGCGTTGACTCCAGGCTGGAGGACGTTGGGGAGAGCTGGGGCCGCAGCGTGGGCATGATGGGCGGCAGAGGCCCAGGGTCAAAATCATTCTCCTCATCGGACTGCCGGAACTCAGGGTACATGTCAGACTCCTCTGCGAAGGGAAAGCCCTGGATGCGGCGGGGCGGTGGGCTGGTCTCCATGACGAAGCGGCCATCAGGGCCACGGCTTATCAGCTCAATAGGCGTGGTGACCTCTGCCTCATACTTGGACACACTGTATTTCTTGCTGGCTATGGCACGCTTGGTTTTCTTGTAGAAGGAGAGCTCTTTGTCTCTTTCTCTCTGAGGGCTGGGCAGCTTCCTGACATACAGGCCTGGACCGTGGGAACCCTCTGACGAAAGAGAGCGGGGTCGAGATGGAGGAGAGCTCTCTGGACTTATCTTCCCCGACGATAACCTGATAAAAAGATGCAGACACAATGTACTGACTTAATTTAACATATTTCAGATGAAACCCAAAGGGAAAGTGCGTAAACTATTTTCAAACAAAAGAAAAATCTTTGATGCTGTAAATTAATAGGCATGAATGCAGTTTCATTCTTAAACAGATGACACAATACAAAGCCAAAGCACTCTATCAAAGCAGCCATAATGAACTGCTTTATGATAATGACCAGTTTATGGCGGCGGCAGCATCCTGATAGGACAGCAGCTAATGAACCAAGCCAGAATGATGGGATGAGAGGAGAACCAACGACGCAACCATGACAACCGTATCACAGATCTATTGATTCTACATCTTCTTGAGCAGACGAGAGACCAATTTCCATATGCTGCACCAAATGGTGATGTGAGGAAAGCAGATGACATCTAACCAGGCCTCATTTGCCCACACCAGGAGCAGCAAAGTCGACACTTACTGGGTCACTGAGTGCATCAGGTAGACATACATTATAAAGAGTGCATATACACAGTACTGGACTGTACATGCAGCTGAGCTAATGCAATTTAATCCCTGTATGGTGCGTGAAAGTCTGTGCATGCAAATAGGCCAGCGGTAGGCTTCACTGCAACAAATAGTCATTGTCAGTTGATAATTTCTATGCAATGCATTAACCATGCAGCCAAGCCAGTGCAGTGCAGCACACTCTGTATTTTGGTGCAGGCAGGCACTCACAGGGGGCTGGCGGGCGGGGGCAAGAAACTGCTCCTGGCAGGCTCGTCCCAGCAGGGCTCTACCCCTGGCAAGGGGGTGAGAGGAGGCCTGCGATGGGAAACAAACGACATGGGCCTGGTTCATCTTTGACTATGCCACTTGCAGGAAGGACCAAGTGTGAACTCCCTGATCTGCCTGGACCATTTCATAAAAAACTAAACAAAGGTATCTGGTACTAACGATTTACCTAAAGTCTCAGGCAGACAAACATTTGTTCTGGAATGGGATTTACACATATTATTGTCAAAAATGAGCTTCATTTGAGATTGGAAATGCAGTCATACATGTACACGAGATTTACAGACAGACAAATACACACATGTAGCGGATACTGTACATTAAATGTGCAGCTAAACAAAAAAATAGCATTAATAAACACTTAGAATCATGCAGAAAGCAGACAGCGTTTGAGGTTAAAGAATACAGATGGATCAAAAATCAATACACATACTGCAGCTTGGGCACTCTGTGTAATGTGTTTAAAATGCTGACTTGGCTGCTTTGAACTTTCTTTAATCTTCCCATGATCCGCTAGAGGCTGCTACTGTACATGTTCTTCCACACCCTTCAAGAAGCCCGAACATCAATCAATGTTTTTTTTTCCATCATGAACCTGGGCTTCTTCTGTATGCTTGTTCGTTTTGTAAGTTTTAATAAATACACTCTCTTGCCATATCACTCTTGTCTAAACGCACAGGAGAAAGCATGCTGTATGTATCAGCTCTGCTAACAAGGCTCTAAAAAGATTGTATATCGACTTGCCAGATGCTTCAATATAAACTGTTTGTTATTTATTGTTAAAAATGCATGCCTTGTCACAGTGTGTATGGGAAAAGAAATTCTGTACAAGGTGTATTAGAAGATGCACAGTAGTAGCCACCTCTGGCAGACTGCAGGGGCTCTGGCGTTGACTTTACTTACGGTGACTCAATGCTTTTCCTGAAGTGTGTCACCGACAAGGGGGGATCTGAGAGGACAAAAACATTTAAAGTTAGCATTTTCTCTGTTGAATACTACGAGAAGAAGTCAGACACATGGACGGATTATGAGACGACAGGCCTCTCGACATGTAAAAGCCCCACACCAATCTTACCCAGTAGTAAGCCATCCAGACTGAAGTGATACAAAACAATGAATGGGGTGTGTCTTTGCAGTCGTTTTGTGTCTCTGTGGTAGCTCTGAGACTGTTTGCTGCCATTATGTGTCTCTTTGTAGTTGATTTGTGCCTCTTTGTGGTAATTTTGCATCTCTTTGTAAATGTTTTGTGTCTCTCTGTGGTTGTTTTGAGTCTCCTTGCCTCTGTTGTTGTTTGCTGACTCTTTTTAATCATTATGTGTTTCTTTGTAGTCGTTTGTTTCCCTTTGAGGTCATTCTCTTAGTTGTTTTGCATCTCTTTGTAATTCATTTTGCGTCTTTGTTGTTGTTTTGTGTCTCTTTGTAGTCATTTGACTTTCTAACAATAAATATTGACATTCACTCATGAGCACGGGGCCCAATGTGCCCAGTAAGCCCATTCAGTAATCCATCCATGGTCAGACACGTACTATATTCATTACATGTAAATTAAGCAGAGAGGGTGACTGACCTGGTTTACGTTTGAGTTTGCGACGATGTTGCTTATTGACGAAGCAAGCTGCTAGAGTGCTGAACAGTACTGCCGCTGCCAGAAAACAGATAGTTGCCACAACACCCGCCACCACAGGCCGCGCCAGCCCCTCATCAGGCAACTCCGGAGGGGGGAAGGGATCTGATGGGGTAGACAAGTGGGTAAAATGGAGAGTTTAGTCACAAATCCATTCCTCACAAGGGCCGAGCATTTCTGTGTGTAGTATATAATGCTTCTTTGTAAAGAAACTCACCTGTGCTAGACACTCCCACTACGTTGCTGCTCTCACTAATCAGGTCATCCATGACAGCCATCACGCGAAACTCATACCAGGACTCCTGTCAGACAGACACACCAAATACACTCTTCCTATGGCCGTCTCTTACACAGATTTTTGCGTACAGCTTGGTAGATCATGGCTAAATGCACTGTATTTTCAGAAATACATTTCTGATGTAGACTGTATAGAAGTGGTGGAATATTCACTTACAAAATATGTGTGTGTGTGTATATATATACTTATTTCTAAATTATGCTTAGCACCATTAAGTAGGGAGATTGGATCGGAAAATGGATTCCATCAATCATCTTTTCAGTCAATTATTCCTAAAACTTGCTATGTTTGCCACACCTCACACATCGAACAGTGTATGTAACTGACCTGAACGAGGTCTCTAGCTATGAGCTCAGTCTCAGTGGACGGGATCAGGTCATCCAGAACCTCCCACCTCTCTCCAAGGCGGAACTCCATGATATATCGGTCGATTGGTGAGGAGTGGTTGGCTGGTGGGAGCCATGTGAGGAGGACACCGTGCTGCGTGCGATTGGCTGTGAGGCACCGTGGTGGAGTAAGAAGCACCAGTGGTTCTGGGGTACCCAGAGGAGAGCCTGTGAACCAGAAATGTTGCACATAAAAGTTAAAACAGAGGAAAGTATTTCAGACATGACCCAGATAAAACAACGGAATGATCCTTTGCAGTGAAATAAAAAACAAAACAAAAGTGTGGCTAACAATATTAGATGAACGAATAGAGTCTTGTGCTTTTTTCAGGTGTTTGGTCATAAAAAATGTAACGATGGCGCTAAATAAAGTTAAGGGATCACTAAAGTTATTTAAATTCATCCTGAGAGAAACATTAATCCCACAGAACTTCATGGTGGCACTACAGGAAAAGTCAGGGATCAACTAAGTCATTAAAATACATTGTCTGGACACCATGAAAGTCTGTACAATTTCATCTGCCAATAGACGTTGAGATATTTCAAAGGTCAACAGATGACCAAAGGTATCATGCTCTGGAGGCCACAGCAATCCATCTTACAATTGTTGAGATATTTCAGTCTGGACCAAAGCAGAGGAACGGCTGACAGACAGACCAAAACTGCTGTTAGCATAGCTAAAAACTAAAAATCTGGCAGCTCCTTTGTATCATATAAATTATGCTTTCAGTCACTCAGTGTAAAATATGTTGTATGGTTTAACAGAGTAGTAGTTTATCAACCTCAGAAGTACCTGACCTCAGACAGATGATGAATACTGAGCTTCCTCTAAAGTGTCTCCCTCTGCAATCCCACCCGCTAAATGAAGACTAGCTTAATGTGTGGTAACCTTCGACTGTTTTCTTTGAGAAAAAAAGCTTCGAGACCTGTCACAGTTTTCCTAATTACCCACAAATAAAAATACTCAGAGGCAGGCACACAGAAATACACTTATCTGTTGTACAATTTTACCCGAGAAGAAAATGTAATGCTTGACATGACAAAACCCTTGAATGTCATATTATGAGAGACAGACACTCAAACTGTTTTATCAGTGGTATGTTAACACAGCACATCACAACTATACAATATTTTTCTTGGTTTTCAGAGACAAAAAACGGTGTTACATAAATGATGCATAATTTGGAACTAATCCTGGGGAGGTATGAAAGTGGAATGAAAATAACATTATATGACAGCATAAGGCACTGCATGTACAGGAAGCATACATGATAAACCAAAGCCTTTATTGTTTACTGCCATTCATCTGTTGGCTGCTATCAGTGTGTGTGAACTAGGTCAGAACTTTGCAAGCCTCATTTAACCTGTGTTGAAAGTAAGCTTTCCAACACATTGTTAGTGGGCAGCGTGTAGCAGAATCTGGGTTTACACTGTGTGAAACAAAGCCGGCATTGTGAGTAAGTTACTGTCATCAAGTCTTTGAGATTATGTTTTGTTAAAAGACCAGTGTGTAGGATTTAGTGGTATCTGCCAGTGTTGTCGCTTCACCCATCCATTCCAAGCACGAAGAAGAAACAACGGTGGCTGTGAAGCTCACAAAAAACGTGAATGTCCCTGTCTATAGCCAGTTTATCCCTTCTGGGCTACTGTAGAAACATAGTGGTTCAACATGGTAAGCCTCCATGGAAGGGGACCCATGTCTGTAGACAAAAAAGTCTCATTCTAAGGTAACAAAAACATAGCAATTCTTATATTCAGGTGATTATAAACGAATGAAAACATAATTATGAATATT